TCTGTGTCAGCATTCGGCTGCTGGCAAGGAACTGAGGCTCCCCCAGGGGGTTTGGGAAGCTGTGGCACTGCCATGGGGGACAAGTGGGCCCACTCCTGTGGCCCCACTCCTGTGGCCCCTCCGAAGCACTGTCCAAGCTCCTTCCCAGAGCCTGGGGCCACTTACCCGCAGTTGTCCCATGTGCCATGTGCAAGCCCGCACGTGGCCAGCAGGACGAGGAGGCAGAGCCAATTCATGGCTGCCAGAGGCGCGTGTCAGCTGCAAGAAGTGAGGGCTCCTTGCACCAGCACAGCCGCAGATGCAGTCCCTGCAGCAGCCGCGTTGCCCGTGAAGGCCTCGTCCCTGGGGCTGATGTCACAGGGTGGTGGGTTCTGTGTTCTGGGCACTGGGGCCTCTGGCTCAGGGGTGGGGGGAGGAGCAACATAGAATCCTAGAACCGTAGAATAGTATTGGCTTAAAGGGACCTTAAGGATCATCTAGTTCCAAACCCTGCTGCCTTAGGCAGGAACACCTAAAGCAGCTTGCTCCAAGCCTGGTTCAAAAGCTGTCCTTGAAACCTTCCTGGGATGGGGCATCCACAGCTGCTCTGGGGAACCTGTATCAGTTCCTCACAACACTCACAGTCAAGAATTTCTTCCTAATATTTAATCTAAGCCTACGCTCTTCCACTTGAAAGCCACTCCCCCTTGTCCTATCACTACTTGCCCTTGTAAGAATTCTCTCTCCAACATTCTTTAGGCCCCTCTTCTTGCTGGATGAGGGTGTGCAGCCCCCAGGGCAGGTAGCAGTGCCTGGCTCCCAGCACTGCCTGCTGACAGCTCCCAGGAAAACACCAGATGTGGCATCACAGGGTCTTTGGGAGCTTCACAGCCATGCTGAACTCTACAGGCTTTTGCCACCAACTCCTTCACAAAACCCAAAGACCAGGGAACATGGCTAATGCAGGAAGCACATGTGTGTTTGGGTGCGGAGGAGCCAATCATGTTACAGACATGGTGGCTGAGCAGTGAAGTGCAAGCCCAAAAAGCCGAGTGTGCCCAAGCAGCATCACCCTTCCTGTGCAAAGTGCAGTGAAACAAAGATGCAGCACAGTCCACTCTGGCTATGTCAGCCACAGCAACACCCTCTGACCAGCTCCATCCTCCTTATCCTGGACTGGCAGTCACATAGAATACAGTGGCACTTTCATGCCGCTGAAGAGAGAGAGGGGATTGGGCCAAGCCCTGTAGCAATCTTCCCTGTCAGTATCTCAACAACAGACATGTTGGTTCCCCTGAGCCTAAACATCAAGGAGTAAACACAGAATAATCTTGGTAAAACCCCATAGCTGCATGTATGGAAATGTCTTATTCCCTTGTTGTCCAGACACATCTTTAGTTTGTCACACTAGGATAGTGAACATTTAGCAGGAAATACAAAATTAAAATTAATTTTAAAATTGTCGTATTATTTTAACTAAAGTATTTAATTTCAATTCTCACTCCAAGAAATTAATTTTCCAAGAGTTCATGTGTGTCGAGGTCATCACAGACAAAAATGACAGCAGAGAGTACTGTGTAAAAGGAGCAACACAACTGTTTGCTTTTCTGACAGCATAGCCCCCTGTCGAGAACAGGCAACTGGCTGTGCACTCCAGAGAGCCCTCGCACCCTCTCCCCTGATGTGACCACCAGCTGGTTCACAGAGGTGATTCTCTGTGGCATTACTGGTGGCTGAGGAAAACCACTTCCAGAGTCATGCCTGGGCTGGAGTATCCTGTTATTTCTTCACTGACACAGTGTCAGTTTCTGAGGCTCATCTTTAGTATAAGATACCTGCTAATGAGAGGCCTGTGGAGAATAAGGCTGAGAAGGATCAGGGTTGCAGGAAACATGGTCTCATAATAATAATCATATTGTGAATGGTGTTTAACATTAGAAAGAAAAGGCAGAAGACAGCTGTGAGAAGACCTTTTAATATGGATGAGAATGGTCCTTAAAAGAAGGAGAAATCACCATTTGCACCTCATAATGCAGAAAACAGGAAGCTTGCACATCTTGACCATCTTATAAAAATACATGGGTACCCTCTAAGGAGAGAGCTGAAGAGAAGCATTCCTTCATTTATTGAAATGCAGCATTTTAAAATAATTTTCCTGGGGGAATCTGTGTGTAAAGATTTCAGCGGTCTATGGTTTTTTTTCAGGGCTAATAAGCAAATATCACAGGGTAATTTCATGCAGATTCTGCATGTGAAGTGTTGTAGTCTGCCTTTTGGAGGCAATTGGCATAGATCTTCAAAATGTTCCTTTTATTAATTCACTAATAGATTTATAGAATGAACTATAGCTAGAGTGAGTGTAATCATTGGACTGTCTCTAGTCTCAGCCCATTAAGTTTTTGTACTTTCCTGACTCACTGAATAATAGCGGATATTTTGACAATCAAGGGTCTGCTGAGTATCTGAGCAGTCTCCTCTATACCTCAAGCAGAGTAGTTCTGGTCAATATCTCAATATCTCAGAGTCACAAGTTCATCCCTTCATAAGAATAAAAAGGTGTCCTGCTGTCAAGGAAAGAATGAAAGAAATATGCTTCAACAGAGAGAACTTCAAGCTATGAGACTGGAGCAGTTCAGTTATGGTGCGCTGCTTTGGTTATACAGAATTCTTTAAGTCTTGATGCATCAGCAAGAACACTTGATCTATCAGGCAAAACCAAGAATGGCTTCTAAATTTGCTTTTGTGATTATGTATCTGACTGGGAGGAGACAATGATAAAAAGCTTTTCCAGCTTTCAAAGCCAAAGCTAGTAGCTCCTGAGAGTAGATTCAGGAGCCATTCTCAGGATACCATTGGAAGGGCTGCCCATGGTGAATGTTTACTGTAAGAATTGACACGCACACAGGTAAACCCAGATGGCCAAACCACAGCTAAGGAATTAAGGAAAAGTTTATTCCAAAGTCAGACCCCTAAACACACTGCTAAATCATGCAGTGGGTGAAAGAGTGCAGCAGCAGGCCTGTTCTGGTGCTTTTATAACAACATCTTTTGCATACGCATAACTTAAAGGCTGTGTTCTCCCCTGTGCTTTTACCATCTCCCTCTCTCCCAGCAGGGACCTCAACTGTGTCTGTGAGAAAGTGTTATTTCTACACAGGAATCCTACATCTCAAAACAGGCAGAGGATAAGCATCAGTAGGTGTAATAAATGGGGTTTTTCCACACTGATCTTTCCCAGGCCTAGCATTGCCAGCTGCAAAAGTCTCTTGAGCAAAAACAGCTCTAAAACCAATCCAATCTCTTTTCTGCTCACCAATCTTCCATTTTCAACCCCCTCCTCTCCACATTTATGTTTTGGACGTATAGTTTTTGAGAGAAGCTTTTGACATATCAAAGATGAAAGAGGATCCTGCAGCCAAAAGCAGCCCAAATTGCAGTAATGGTCTCTTTATTTTCAGCAGAGAAAATACCACCCAACTGAAAATCTGGAGTGTATTTGGATATCCATTTTCAATCATGATTGGGCAGATCTTCACAAGGGAGACAGCTACATAAGAACGCTTCCTCTCTTGAATTTTAAAACTGTGCCCAACAAAGTGCCAAATCCATGTGGCTCCAGTCTTTTGTCCAAATTCTAAAACTTCCTAAATTATGTCCTTGTAAGCTCAGGAAAGTTGTAAAAACTCATTATTGTAACTCCTCACCTATTGCCCATGGAGACTGTTATTCTGCACTCATACTTTGACAGAAGAGATAAGTGGAGAGCATTCCCAGGCCATTTAAGAAGCGTTTCAGCTGCAGACACATAACTCTGTAGGTTGATGGGCATTTTAATATTTATGGTGTTAAAGTGATCACATGTGGGATTTTTTTTTCACTTTTTTTTTTTTTTGATAGTATAAGTACTATTTAGTGAGTGTTAGCAATACTGAATATTATTTCTAACCCTGGACCATGTGAGCTCTCTTTATGTACGTGCTCACATATGATTGATATGGGTACACCTTTACTACAAAATTGGTTGTGGTTTTTTTGCAGAGTCTGCTTTCTTTTATGTAACACTTGTTTAAGGCTATTGCAAATATGTTTTTTTGAAACATTTTTACATCTATGTTATCTTTCAAATTCTGGAAAATTTTGTGCTACCCAAGATACATAAGATGATATATTCTTTAGTTATTTTTGGAAGATAACACCAAATCTTAGCCGATTTCCTGATACTTCCACATTTTGTATGTGGATGTTTAAAGGGCAGCAGTGAATCAAACTGTTTCAAAGATTCACCATGGAAATTTAAGAAAAAATAAAAATCTGTCCTAATACATTTTAATGAACAATCTGCTATTTATTTAGTTTGATGTTGACAAGTTATCTTAATTTCTTAGCTGGAAGCATCCAAGAAGACGTAAATAATTTTGAATGAGGAGAATTGTTTGGAAGTTATATTTCTAAATATTTCTATAGGTGACTGTCTTTTTTTTCCAGTGATTTTCTTCTACAGATGGAGTCATGAAGTGTAGGTATGGTAAAACATTTTAAGATTTCACATTGTTTTTCATTTTGAGAAATGCTGAGTTTGATGAGTTGTGATAGGGATGATACTGACCTAAACAGAGTAGCTGACTACATTGCTGGGGTGATGCGTCAGGATCTTCATTGCTCTTAAAGTACATCATGGTTCTCCTCAGCATGGATTTGTCAGAAAACTTTGAGAACAATGCTGGGTCTTCCAGACTTCCAGAAGCTTATCTGGGAACCCTCACTTTGTATTTGTGGTTTCATCCTCCAAAGGAGCAAACAGAGTTTCTGCTAAGAACATACTGATCTTGACTTTTGGCAGTGCTTTATGTTTGGGACACACCTCAATTAGCTTTCCTCTGGAGCTTTCTGAGGAAGTGGAGTGAGAGAGCAGAAGAAAAGGCTAATTGCTTTGTTTCCCATGGGCAAAATATTTTTTTTGATGCTTGAAATTTCTGTTTTTTAGAGAAATCTGAAGTGGTTGAATTTTTACTCCATATTGGAACTGGATTGTCTTCCATGTAAAGTATTTTCCAATGAGTTCCAACTCTCTGTGAGCATAAAAAGGCTGGGAAAAGTTGGGTTACATGTCATATGTATTCATAATATCGTTCCTGCTGTTTTCTGTTAAACTACATCCTTCAAATTCTAAAATACATCAAGAAAAGGAATGATTTACTGCACAAGTGATCACGCTGACTTGCTAGGTATGATCACACATGTAACTTTTTTGTTACATGGCAAGATAACACGGACGTCCAGGTCACTGCTAATTCTAATGTGTGTAGCATGATGTTACTCTGCATGATGAGGCACATGGTGATATTTTAAGGGGGAAAAAACTTAATTGCCAATTGAATTACAAATATAGCTTTCCCT